CTCAGCCGTATAGCCTCTTCAGTGAGACTATGCTCGTTCTCCACAATTTTGATCTCAAATGAACCAAACTGTTCGGAGAAATTCGAAATTTAATTTCCTTTCCTATGGTCAGAGCTTTTTTTGCAATCTTTCGATATGGAACAGAGCAAGAAGACCAACATAAAAAGTTTTGAACACAAAAACAAAAACACAAAACTTCATTCACCAATTAAAGAAACATTTTCTTAGTTGTTTGATGCGCTTAACATCACTTGAAGAAGTGAATCTATCAGCAAATCGTTTATCCTCCATATCGTCTGCGTTCGCTTTATTGCCCAATCTACAGATTCTTCGTTTACATTCCAATCGAATCACCTCTATACCTGATCTCTCAAATTCGCAGTCTTTATATGTTAGTTTCCGTTCCTTTTTATTGATTCCATCATAAGTTTACGCCACTACTTATTACTACCTATTAACGCAACTACCTATTTACTTATTGTTGCAATTATTTTTGCCCTAGAAGCATAAATGTGTAGAAAACGAATCACTTTGATGTCGTTTAGAACAACATTTTAATGGTTATTGACCACAGAATTCAGCATTGAAGCATCGTTTTTGCATTCCAGTTATTGGATGTTTCGAATAATGACATTGAAAATGTTAATACGGATATGTGTATGGCAAGAACGTTGAAGCATCTTGATCTCACTTGTAATCTCGCATTACGTGTCAACACAAGCACTCTTCGACCTAAAAAGTATATCATTGATTGTTATATTTTTGGGTGGAAATTGTTTGATTCAAACAAATCCATTGAACAATGAAATGAATCAGTAACGAGCCATACAACTGACGAAAACATTTCGAAAGCAAACTTTTAAATCTTGTCATATGGTCATTGTTATCAGGGAATTAACTCTCTTACTGCTGTTGATATGAAGTAGAGGGAATCGTTGAATAAGTGAGTGATTTGCAGGAAAGGGCGATTAGTTTCAGTTGTTGATGTTGGCTCTGAATCGATGTCTGGACCGTTTCAGTACGGATTCTCTGAAACTTCTGGTCAGAAGAACAAGTAAGATGCGTTTTCAATTTAATCACCGGCTTTCATTTATACATGAGTTCAGCAACCATGAGTGTATTCACTTTTAAAATCCATTTTGTGTATTCATTTTAAAAAACTTGACAAATCTGTTCGTGAATGTAATAATGTCAATAATAAATCAGATTATGCATTCGTCAAATCCGTCCAAGGAATGACAATCGTCATGTGTTCGGTATGATCGATGGTGGATCGAATGATGAGGTACCTTCGCTGGTTGNGTATGCCTCCCTGTCGCAGACTGTAAAGCAACACTTACGTTCATCAAACATAAGGAACGAATAGTTATTTCACACGAATTCTAGCTAGCAGTAATATTCTCGCAATAGTGTAATGTGTCTGTCTGGGAATTGTCGAAAAAAATGGACAACGAAATCAGTGAAGTTTAACATTGTGATGATAAAGACGTTTTGTCATGCTCACAAGATAGCTCTTGCAAAGGTAATCAACTTTACAGACGGTGTCCGGAGTGGAGTCGTTGAAGATGGCGCTAATAAAGGCTCATGAACATTTGGGGCAGTTGGGCGAACGTTTAGGTGCATCAGCGTTATTGCTTTATGTATCGCATGATGAATTGCTATGCGCAATCAGTGGTCAAATTGGTGCAGTTTTGTGTAGAAACGGCAATGCGTTGGATCTTACGGACGACATGATCAGCAGTGAAATTTGTGATGAACAATATCAGAAACTGCGAAGAGATAATGTCACCATCACTCAGGTGCTTACTGACATTTAGCAGTTTTCTTTGTGAAATATTTCCACTTCCCATTCATTTCGTGTATTGGAATCGTTATTATCCGTCAACATTTCCAACTTCCTGAACAAAGCAAAACATCAAATTTCATAGTATTTCCGCTACCTTGTGATATGATGATGTATTCATTGAAAAACTCAGAAATTCATATGACTTTGATAAAGAGAGCTTATTCTTATACTTGATCAGCTCAAGTCAATGCTGATATTGATACGAATTTTTACTGTCTCATAGAAATAAATTGTTCTATGTTAGCCGAACAATTTGTGAAGTACTTATAAACATATCGCGTGAGTTCAAGTTATTTGTAGATCTATTTTTAGGATAATCTGATCGAGGGTATCTGTCCTAGTATGCGCTCGTTGGGCTTCTCATTTTTGTATCCAGCCGTTCTACCGAATCCAACCAAGGTTCTCAAGCAGTTTTGTTTAGCTAGGTTTTTGTTGTTGATTCATAACCAAAACTATATTTTTGGATGTATATTTTCATCCCTAGTAATCCGTAATCGATAGGAAAGGGATTCTGATTTACCTGGTGCACCATACTGTTCATCATGCAAAATTTCGGTTTGGGGTCTTTTTTTCCGAATGTATCATTTCAACTCATCAGAAAGAGCAAACTCACACCAGAAACAGAATTTGACATGCCAGAAACAGGAACAGAAGGCAATTGGAAATTGTATTCTTACTTTAAGATAACCGTTCCCTTACTGGACACTGATGAGTTCATCATAATCGCCTCAAAAGCGCTGTGGAAATTTGTATCACCACAACGCAGTGTCGATCTCATTCGTGCAATTCGAAATCCACAGATGGCTGCTAAAAAATTACAGGTTCGGTCTCTAATTTCATTCATTTATATGTTGAGGTTTGTAATAGATCTTTAAATCTGTGTGCATAAGAAAACCCCATAAGACATCGCACATTCTTAT